TTTTTTTTTTTTAAAGATTTTATTCATTTATTCATGAGAGACAGAGAGAGAGGCAGAGGGAGAAGCAGACTCTCCCGCGAGGGAGCCCAAAGTGGGACGCGATCCCAGGACCCTGGGATCATGACCCGAGTGGAAGCCAGATGCTCAACTGACTGAGCCACCCAGGCACCCCAAGATAAAATTTTCTTTTGGTCATTCAGTATCTATTTGTTCATTCACCAAATATTTATGGAAAACTTATTTCTGTACAAAGCATTATACTGTCTGGGTGGCCGTGACAAACCTGACCCCCCACTTTGCCCACAAAGAGCATATAACCTACCTGAGGAAGATGCAGCATTGTTCCTCACTAGAATGCAATGCAAACCAGCAGGGTGCCATGTGACAGGTACAGAGTAAGTGAGCTCAGTGTTTCAAGCAGAGAGAGAGCCTCCGGCTGGAGGTGAACAAGGCCAACCTCACTAAGGATGTGGCACATGAGTGCTCTAACCCTTTGTGGCTATTCAGACTCCCCCAAGGCAACCTAAAAATCTAACATGTGAGCCGTGGTGAAATAAACTACGAAATCCACTTGCTGGACTATTATACAGTCTTTAGAATCTGAAGCAATGTGGAAAATACATTAGAATGGTAAGTAAAAAAGAGAAGAACACAAATGTTTATTGTAGTACACTCACCATGACCATCTACAACAAAGGGAAAAAAACCTATGCAGAAGAAAATGAAGGGAAGGAAATACACCAAAATATCGGTGGTTGCTGTAGGTGATTTCCCCCCTTTCTCTTTTTATCTGTCCCCCTTTCTCATTCTTGTCTGTCTTCCATATTGAGTGCATATTGCTTTTTTAAAGATTTATTTATTTTAGAGAGGTGGGGAGGGGCAGAAGGAGAGGGAGAGTGAGAATCCTAAGCACACTCCCCACTGAGCATGGAGCCCCATGTAGGGCTTGATCTCACAACCCCAAGATCATGTCGTGAGCCAAAATCAAGAGTCTGATGCCCAGCTGACTGAGCCACCCAGGTGCCCCTACATATTGCTTTTATAACAAGTTTTTAAAAATCCAGTACACTCTAGGCGCACCTGGGTGGCTCAGTCAGTTAAGCATCCAATGCGTGATTTCAGCTCAGGTCATGATCTCTGGGTCCTAGGATCGAGCCCTGAGTCGGGCTCTGCGCTCAGCAGCGGGGACTCTGCTTGGGACTCTCTCTCTCCCTCTGCCCCTCCCCCTGCTCATGCTCGCTCTAAAATAAATAAATAAATCTTTAAAAAAAATGCAGTACACTTTATCTTTAAAAAAAAAAAAAGCTTTAAGGGAAAAACACCCTTCTTAGTTGCAGAGTCCATAATCAAACACAATACACTTGTAATGATCTAACAATGGGGAAATTACCTCATGGTTCCTACATACTATAGTCTTGTTTGTGTCATAACATTTTTTAAAACAGCTAAAAATAGTGCTCAAGGATAACGAAAACAGAGTAATTTTCCCTTCTAGGGAATGTTATAAAACTGCCTCATCCTCCATTCCCTGGGCTCACTTTCGGGCAAAGGGAACAGCAGATCCATCTGAAAGCTGGGAACATGCTCATCAGGGCAATGCCGATGGCAGCTGCCAACCACAGAACGGGAAGAACTCTATTTCGGTAGGTGCACACACTGTTCATTTCCTTTTCCACTAGCTTGTGGCATGCAGCCATACCTGATCTTGTAAATCAAGTAATGAAGTTTCTGTTCTTCACCCTCAGCCTCCAAACATCCTGACTCTATCTGGGCAAGGTGCTGACGAGCTTTCGCACACTGCCAGGCAGACTCGCTCACGGGCTGGGGACAAGGAACCATGCCCACTCGTGCTGTCGCACACTTACCACCCAGATGTTGGAGCGGGCTTGGAGCTCTGCATTTACCCGGAAGCCACCAAAATCAGAGTCTATCTCTAGTCCACCCGTCTTGGCCAACTCAACATTGGGCTCCAGGCCCACAGCTGCCACTATGTGGTCAGTTTCTACCTGAGGAAAAAAAAGAAATAATTCAGCCAGGGGCGCCTGAGTGGCTCAGTCGTGAAACGTCTGCCTTCGGCTCGGGTCATGATCTCAGGGTCCCGGGATCGAGTCCCGCATCGGGCTCCCTGCTCGGCAGGAAGCCTGCTTCTCCCTCTCCCGCTCTCCCTGCTTGTGTTCCCTCTCTTGCTGTGTCTTTCTCTGTCAAATAAATAAAATCTTAAAAAAAAAAAAAGAAATAATTCAGCCAGTTACCACAGTTTCCATGTATGTCTATGGACATAGCAACTGTACTTTATTTTACTAAGAAGTGGAGCTTTACAAAAAAAAAAAAAAAACAAACAAAAAATGAAAAAAAAACCCAACTCACTGATTAACTTACATAACTCTGGTAAACAAATTTAAAGGTCTACTTTATAAACTTCCTCCAACACAAATCTACCCCACATTGTCGGAACAGAAATCTGCCACCCTTGTAAGGTCTCAAAAATCTGTGATACAGACGGGAGGGGGAAAGTGGTTCACAGGTGTCTACTCTGGCTCTCATCATTCTTATTTTAATGGAGGGAATAGTTCATTCAGAAAATTATGACAATGTTAACGGTGGCTGCCACGAAAACTATCTACTGTTATCAAACGAAGGAGTAAGAATGAGGAAAGGGGAGGGGAGAGCTGGAAGGTCTGGCAGCCCATCTTCCCCTCCTTACCTTCCGGCCATCTTTCAACTTGATGAGTAACTTGCCACCGCTGACTCCAACTGATTGCACAATAGCATTGGGAAGCACCTTAACCCCCTCTGTGAAGGCAAACAAGACCTGAGGCTGGGCGAGCGAGCATCCCACCTTCATGACGAGTAGGGAAGATGATTAAAGGCACCCCCTATCATAAAACCAGTAATCATCAGCTCGCAGGCAGCCTTGGGGAACTGCAAGAACCCACACCCACAGTTCATTTTCAGTACTTCCGGGAATTTGGTGCGTCAGATTCAGAACGCCTATTGGAACTTGGCTGAGTGGAGAATGGTAGAAGTATTTCATCTGCCAGGTGATATGGCTTATGTCAAGGGGGTTCCCAAAGAAGCCAACTTTGCGTAGGCCTCATTCAAAGGAAAGAGCGGCAGCATATGGAAAGTCTCTCTACCTCGTCTGACTTTTTCCATGGTCCAGTTGCTGAGGTATTCAGGGAGGATCTTTCCCATATTTCCTTTCTCAGGGAAGAGCTGAATCACTTCTGTACCCAAAGCTCGAGCTGGGAAGAAGAAACAGACTTGGTAGAGCAGGAGGCAAAAGCCAATCCTGGGAAGACAGGAAGAGAAGTGAAGGAGCAGCAGGTTGCCATTCGTGACACACAGGGCAATGCTGCGACCTAGGCCAGAGCTCCTATTTGTGGGGCACTGACAAGGCAAACATAACGGGCACCATAACTGCTGTCCCCGGATTCAACTACGCACCATGTACTAAGTGCATTACACCCAGGCATCCGCTCAGGCTCACACCTGTGCCTGTGGCCTCTGAACAGGAAGCACCCTCCTGAGAAGATGCCCTGATTTCACACAGCCGAAAATTGACATTAAGGAAAACGGCTGTCACGAAACATTCAAACTGGAACACACAGAGCTGTCGAACTGGGAACCATCATGCGTCTGAAGAAAGTCTGACTTTTACAGGGAATAGCAGTTCAAATATACATACAACTCTGTAGTCTACATTGCCCTTATCTTAATAACTCACTTTCCTTAATATTTTATTTCTTTTTTAAAAGATTTTTTTAAAAAAGATTTATCAGGGGGCGCCTGGGTGGCTCAGTAGGTTAAGCGTCTGCCTTCGGTGTGGGTCATGATCCCGGGCTCCTGGGATTGAGCCCCATGTCAGATCCCTTGCTCAGCAGGAAGTCTGCTTCTCCTCCTCCCTCAGTGTGTGCGCACGCGCGCTCTCTCTCTCAAATAAATAAAATCTTTAAAAAAATAAAAATAAAAAAAAAAAGATTTATCAGATGCTTAACCGACTGAGCCATCCAGGCACCCCTAAAGGTTTTATTTTTAAGTAATCTCTATACCCAATGTGGGCCTCAAACTCACAACCCTGAGATCAAGAATCATACACTCGGGGCGCCTGGGTGGCTCAGTTGGTTAAGCGACTGCCTCCAGCTCAGGTCATGATCCTGGAGTCCCGGGATCGAGTCCCGCCTCGGGCTCCCTGCTTGGCAGGGAGTCTGCTTCTCCCTCTGACCCTCCCCCCTCTCATGTGCTCTCTCTCTCTCACTCTCTCTTTCAAATAAATAAATAAAATCTTTAAAAAAAAAAAAAAAGAGTCATACGCTCTACCAACTGAGCCAGCCAGGCATCCCCTTAATACTTTATTTCTGAGGAGTCCTGGCTTAGAGGCTAGAGGAAGGGAAAGAAAGCATTTCTGCTCAGTTGCTCAGATGGCAGCTTTTTGGTCACTAAGGGATTCCTCACGAGAACTAAGCTCAGTGCTTAGCTTTTCACCATATAAATGTGTTTTTTTTTTTTTAAGTAAACTCTACCCCCAATGTGGGGCCTGAACTCACATCCCCAAGATCAAGAGTTGCATGCTCTACCGACTAAGGCAGCAAGGCACCCCTTACCACATAAATCTTAATCAAACTCTTTCTACTGATCCTGGCAAATGCATCCCTGGAATTTGTGAGAGCCCCAAAAAGCATGGGATATAAAACCAGAGAAAGAAAAATTGAGGTCACTGCCCAGTACTCACCCTTTCTGCCAAGAGCGCAGGCCAGTTCGCTTCCAAGGAAGCCCCCACCGATTATCGTAATTGACTTGACTTCCCGGGAGATCTTCTCTAAGGTTCTAAAGTCTCCAATCTGCAGGATCACACCAGTTTAGTCCACTCATTTCCCAAAGGGGCATAGGATAATACCAAGAAATATTTTCGGCTAAATCTCTGACATGTAATTTGCACATAAAATCTTCTCCTTGTATGAAGTGGCTCAATTATAGCCTCTGTTACTGATGTAAATTTCTCACCCTTGGAACATTCCTTCTAGCATCAGTGGTTCTCAACTGGGGGCAGTTTCGCCCCCTCCCCCTCAGGGGACATTTGGCAATTTCTGGAGCCATTTTTGGTTGCCACAACTGGGGGTGAGGAAGTGCTCCTTGCAGCTAGCAGGTAGAGGCCAGGGATGCTGCTAAATATCCTATATGCACAGGCCAGCCCCTCATGACGAACAGTCATCCGGCCCAAAATGGCAATGGTGCCAAAAGCTGATAAACCTTATTTGATCAAGAATTTAAAGGATGATAGCAATCTTCTCAAATACCCGTAAGAGTGGCTGGAAAATTTCAGCAGGTGTCCCAAGTAAAGCACAGTGTTAAGAAGCAAAGCCCCCCGCTTCCTTTTTCACTTAGGTACTCGAGTTTTCTCTTCAAAGTCTCCGCAGTAACATTTGCAATGCAAAATGCCAAGAGGCTATAAGGAGTTCCAATGACTCAAAGGCATCAGGAACAAAACAACTATGGAAGAGCAATCGGAAGGAACTATAGCAAGCAATAAAAAACACTAGATGTATTTTTCACCTAGGAGCTGAAAACCCTTGAGTGAGGTATTTGAGGTGCAGAGAGAGGAAGTGATTTGCTCAAGGCCAGATAACAAGTCTATAGAAGAGCCATAAATAGAACTCCCATCTCCCAATTCCTGGGTGGTTACTTGGGGACCACATGATTATGCTACCTCTTCAAAAACCAAAACAATGAAAGCACTAAAGCAGACAATTACCTTTCTGAAAAGCGTTGTTCTACTCTTCACCTCTGCTCCAGCCCTATCAATGGCAGACAGACTTCTTGGAGTGCCTCCTGGAAATAGGAGGAGGAAAACCCTTTAGCCCACCGAGCGGGGAGCTAGCCCAAACGCTCCCCCCCAAAAGGTGGTGCTGTGGCGAGCGAGGTTCTGCTGGTGCCACCTCAGCATCCACAAGACCCAGAGGCTTTGTTTCCCTTCACCTGGCCTCCCAGCAGGCTTCTGTCAATTTCCTTGGAGAAGCCATTTGTGAGTCTCTACAAAGGGCCCGCCCTCCCTGGAGATGGCCACAAGGCCTCGGTTTTTCCTTCCCCAATCCCTTCTAGGGGCATCGCCAGAAAGCATGCTGTTTGTTTAAGCGACCGCTTCAGTCTCCTCTCTTGATTTCTGATCACAAGTGGCAATGAAGCTGTGAGGCTGTATCACTTCTGGGGCACAGGGAGGAGAGCAGAGGGCAGGGGCTAAACGGGGAGAAGAAAAAAAAAGGCCATCCTCTTCAATACCCATCTGTGCCCTTACCCAAAGGAGCAGCAGGGGTACTCCAGAAGGGCTGCTGATCAGATGCCTGTAGTTAGCTGGGCTTTGCACCAAGAGAAGCCACCCACTTCAGAGAGACTGGGTTTTGGTTTTCTTAAGATTAAGTAATGCCTTCTATACTAAAACTCAAATGAGCTGTACCAGGGAGGAAATCTGTCTGGAGAAATACTCACCTGTTGCAATCAAGCACTTTTCATAGGTTATCTGAGAGCCATCGTTAAGTTTCACCATGTTGCCTCTCACGTCGAGCTGCACTACCTGGGACACACACAGAAGGACGGAGAGATGAGTTAGCTTAAAATGCTTTGGTATCGAGACATAATTCACATAACATTATACTTACCATGTTAAAGTGTACAATTCGTGGTTTTTAGTATATTCACAAGGTTGTGCAACCATCACCACTATAATTGTAGATCATTTCCATTACCCCAAAAAGGAACCCTGTACCTTTCAGCCATCAGCCCAGGGAGAAGTATTCGTTCTTGACCCAGGGTGATCCTCAAGAAACCATTTCTAAGTAATCACTGGCACCACAGTTTCTGGTACCCAGCCTCTTCAAGTGGTCATACTTTCTTAAGCAGCCAACATTAAAACAAATCCCTGCAGTCCCCAAAGTCCCTGCCCAATTTGTGGAAATGGAGAACAGAGACAGACTTTTCTGCTTGGCTTTTTTGGAAACCTTATTTCCTGGTTAACAACGCTCCTACATCCTCAACATTTTTACAAGATGTTTTGTCTAACTTCTACCCTTCGCTAGAACTCAGCTCTCCTGCCAAGGATAGCTCACATGTAGAGACCGCTCATTCACGCACACTCCTCCCCCAGGGGTGGGGGTGCTGGTTGCTGCTGCTGCTTCCAGATTCGTGGGCCCTCACGCCCCTCTGAGAAGCACCCACCTACATCCTACCAGTCACTGTTATGCAGCCACCTCCCGGTCACTCCTCGTTCACTGAAGACCTGGGAAGCTGGCTCATCCTTTTCCTCCCGAGCCACATCCAGAATCCTCTCTCTTAAAGCTCTACTTCTACCTTGAATATCCCATTTTTTGGTCACAATTTTCCATTCTTCCAGCTTTTTTTCCAGTCCTGCTGTCACCCCATACTCGCTTTTTATTTTCTCTGCTTACCCAGTGGGCTGTTCCATTCCAACTAATCTGGGCCCATGCTAGATCACCCAAACTGTTCTCCTGCTACCACCTCTAATTTCCTTGCACCCTCCTCTTTCTTACGGTGAAGAGCTTGAGATCTGGAGTCAGAGAGACTAGAGATCCAGTCTCTGCTCCCCTCTCTACCAGCTGCGAGGCCATTCGTTCAAGACATACTTATTAAGCACCTACCATGTCAGGGACTGCGTTAAGTGTTGGGGACATGATGGTGAGAAAAACAGGTAACTTCCCTGTCTCCAGAGTCTAGTAGCCAAGGCAGACAATTTAACATATACAATCAAGAGTGAGAAATGCTCTGATAAGGGCAGTACAGGTAGCTCTAGGGACATGTGATAGGGGCCCTCCGTGGAGCTTTCTGGAGGCAACGACATAAACTGGGATTGGATGGGTGAGTAGTTTCTTTAGCCTTTGGTTTGTCCTTGGGTAAGCTCTCTCTTCAATCCAACCCCACTAACTCAACCGTCACACTGCTCACTCTCAGATAACCAACCACCTGGTACCCTAGTTTATTGCAAGAACAAGTGAAGCCATTAGATGTGATCCTCCTCGGCTTCCCACCTCCCAACCCCCACTTCCGTCCTTCCAGCTTCTGGGATGAGGTGTCCTTTCTGTGCTGTTTCTGTGCCTAAGCCCCATTCCCTTCCTTTCTCGCCCAGAACCATCTCCTGGCAGTTACCACTCACTACCGCCTTCTCTGCTGACATCTGAGGCCTTCAGCCCGTTAACACACTTCGGTCTGTCCCGTCCTCAGAGCCCCACCTCTGACTCTACGTCCTTCTCAAGTTCCTACCAATTGCCGTCTCCCTTTTCTCATTTAAACTTTTTGAAGAAGTACTTCATCCTCTTTTCTGACTTCACAATGACATCTGAGCCACTAAGTCTATATGGCTCATTTTACAGTTTTCTTCCGGCCAGAACCCTTTGCTGCAAGGAGGATGTGATCATTCTTCTTGAAACTCTCTCCAACCTCGCTTAGCCCCTGCCCCGGGCTCTCTTCCTTTAACTTCTTTCCTAGTTCCTCTGTGATCTCTTCTTCAGCCTGCCTCCTAAAAGTTGGGTTCCCCAGGGTTCCATCCTTGCCCCACTCCCCTCTGACTGCAAAGCTCTCCACAGGCGGCCTCACCCACTCTCATGGTTTCAACTCCTACACATACGTGGATAATTCCCGAATCTCTATCCGAGCCCAGACCCCTCCTCTGAGCGTCACAGTCACATATCCAACTGCCCACAGGCCATCTCCACAAATATATTCCATTTCGCACGTAACAATCCGAAACTAAATTTTCTTTCCCCCTTAAACTAGGTCTTCCTCTTGTAACATCTCTCTCACCTGGGGCTACACCACCACCTACTACACCAGCTGGAAATCAGAAAGGCATCTTTGCCTCCTCCCTCTCCCTCATGGCCCACCTTCAATCTATCCCAAGCATCGAGGCTGCCTTCTAAGCATGTCTCCAGTCTGTCTCCCACTGTCACCTCTCTATCAGAAGCTATACAACAGTGTTATTAAGAGCTTGGGCTCTGGAGTCAGAATTTTGGAGTCAGACAGATATGGGCTCAAATTCTGTCTCCACCATGTATTAGCTATTTGATCTTAGGCAAGTTAGTTGACTTTTTTTTTTTTTTTTTAAGTAGGCTCCATGCCCAGTGTGGAGCCTGAACTCACGACCCTGAGATCACGACCTGGGCTGAGATCAAGTCGAACGCGTAACTAACGGAGCCACCCAGGCGCCCCACAGTTGACCTCTTTTTAATCTCACTTTCTTTCTCTATAAAGTGGCAATAATAATAGTACCTAGCTGGTAAGAGTCTCATGAGAAAATGAGATAATAGCTGTAAAGCACTTTAGAACCGGGCTCTCCGCCACCGCTACTACCACCCCATCACCGCGGCCGTCACGGCCGCTACTGCCCTAATCTGCTCTGTCATCTCTCGCCTAGATTACTACAGTGTCTTCCAAATGGTCTACCTCTAGTCTTGTCCCCCTGAAATCCATCCTCTTCAGAGCCAACACAGGGATTACTTAAAACTCGATCTGTTCTATATCCTTGTCTAAAATGCAAGAGCCCCTCAGGGCCCATGGGGAAAAGCTCAAGTTCTTCTATACAACAGAGCTCTCCATGGTCAGGACCCTGTGTAACGTCTCGCTTTCATCTCTTGCCATTCTTTAGCTTATACTTTCTGCTCTGTCAGTAGCTAGCTGCTTGTTTCCCTGCACCAAAGGTGCTTTTTCATACCCCCGTACCTTTGCTTATGCTGTTTTCTACTTGAATTCTCTTCACTTACCACGAATCTGGTGAATTCTTCTTCATTCCATAAAATTTCCCATTCTATAAGACCTCCTCCTCCAGGAAGCCTTCCCTGAAATCACCTCTATACTGGGCATGTTTCCCAGTAATTCCCACAATACACTGTGCCTATCTTTCTTACTCCACATCTATGTGTTATGATTATCTGTTCATGTTTTTTCTTAAATACTGTTAAGTCCTAGAGAGCAGGGCCTGTGTGTTATTTACACACAGAGGATACTTAATACCTAATGTCTCATTACCAGCTTTTTTTTTAAAAAAAAGATTTTATTTATTTGACAAGAGACACAGCGAGAGAGGGAACACAAGCAGGGGAAGTGGGAGAGGGAGAAGCAGGCTTTCCGCCAAGCAGGGAGCCCCATGCAGGGCTTGATCCCGGGACCCTGGGATCATGACCTGAGCCAAAGGCAGACGCTTAGTGACTGGGCCACCCAGGCACCCCAAGATGATATTTTAAACTTAATTTGAGGGCACCTGGGTGGCTCAGTTGGTTAAGCGTCTGCCTTCGGCTCAGGTCATGATCTCAGGGTCCTGGGATCGAGCCTCACATCGGGCTCCCTGCTCAGCGGAGAGTCTGCTTCTCCCTCTCCCTCAGCCCCTTCCCCTGCTTACTCTCTCTCTCTCAAATAAATAAAATCTTAAAAAAATAAAGTTAATTTGAAATATAAAAAATGAGTTGATTTATGAACCTCTGACTTCTGTTCTCGGGAAATCATCTGTAAAGTGAGGTGTGTCTATAAGCCTATTTTAGGTCAAAGGGGCGAGGGGAGAGATTTCTAGTTTGAGGGACAGTGCATGGAGTTGAGATGGGAGTTGAGAGATCACGATCCCTCAAGGAGTCAGTCTCAGGTTTAGCCATGAAGCACCAAGTCTCTGAACCCTTGCTTCTTTTGCAGTATGTGACCTTTCTAGCCCCTCGCAGGTCCAAGCCAGTTCTGAGCAGGACAACAGGAATTGTTCCGGGTAAAGCAGAATCTGTTCCGTGGGTTTCTGTGTTCGCTCATTTAACAGTGGATGGGGCCAGAGAGACATTCAGGAACTGAAAGCAGTTGAGAGTGTGGAGCAGGGAATACAAGGCTGAAACAAATCACGCACTTGGTAGGAGCTCCAGTGTGCTTGCTCACTGATATGCACAACTTTCCTCCCTTCGCCCACCCGTTCCCTTTCAAAGAGAACAGAAGTTAATTTAGAAGAATCAGGTTTTATTTAGTGATGTGAACATTAAGAATCTGCCTACATGGTTGAAATATTCACAAAGGACTTTACCATTCACACTCATATGCAGAGGAAGTCTGCTGAATAAAAAATGCTCCTTTACTCATCCAAGCTGCTGTCAGGGACAGCAAAGTGCTTGCCTGTTCCACTGGGGGGCTTCAGTCCTCGTGAATGTTGAATAGTTTGGCTACTTCATTGAGATCTTCGTGTTGCTCACCGTCCTTAATAATCTGAGGGAGAGAGGAACAATGGGTCACCGACTCGCTTCGTGTGCGCCAGGCCGGCCTGCACAATGGGGAGGCCTGGGCCAGTCCCCACATCGCCCTGGGAGGGAGCTGTGGGAACAGCCTTCTGTTAACCCCAAATGAGCGTGTGCCAACTCCCCAGCCACCCAGCCAAGTCCTGAGTGAAAAAGAAACGCTCCTGAGCCAAGGCTACACCTTTGTTCCGCTCAGGCACAGTCTGACCCAGGTGGACAATGCACAACAGCAGGGCACCCGATGAAGTCCGGGGTGCGTTTTCCCATCTTCCTCGAGGAGCGCTGACAGGTACCCACCTTCCTTGCTATTGGCATTCGGTTGAAGATGTTCCACAGCACGATCCCCACCACCACTTTGTCCCTGAGGTAGAAGATGACGCCTTTGCCGTAGTCCTCCCCTTGGGCAGGGACCTGGGGGACTACAGGATTGCTGGGAGGAACAGCGATTTCTGAGGCCTCAGACTCTGTCTCACTCTCTGAGCGGATACCAGTCCCTGTGGCCAACCCCCAGAACAAACAAAATAAAAACAAAACAGAGTCAGTTATGAACTTAGGAAATTCTAGAAGGCAAGTATCTTCCGACACCTGCTTCAACCTGCTCCTAGAGGATTTGTTTTTATGCCCCCTTAGTAAACACTGGCCGTCTCCAGCTCCTCTCCACTGGCAAAGCCGACAAAAGCTCTTCCTTGCCGTCTCCGGGGCACTGCGTCAGTCTGACCCAGAACTTCCCTCCCTTACCATTTCATTTTAAATGTATGCTATAGATTCTTTCCTGGTATCTGGATTTCTTCAAACTGCAGAAGACTTGCTCTTGTCCTCTGAGAAACATTCCAGAGCTGCACAGTCCAGTACAGTAGCCACTAGCCACAAACAGCAATTCCAGTTCCATTATTAAAAAGTAATGAAAATTTAATCGATTTTAACCAAAATTAAATCAAACATAAAATTCAGTTCCTCACGTGCACTAGCCGCATTTCAAGTGCTAAATAGGCACACGCACCTAGGGGCTACTGTAGTGGACAGAGCAGAAACAGAACACTGCCACTGGAGCAGAAAGGTCCATTGGACAGTGCTGCTAGAGAGGCCCTCTGGCCAAAGCAGGAGAGGGCACTTCCATATGGACAAACCACAGTGGAGGGGGTTCCTCCTGGGGAGGGGGCATGCTGTCCTCTGAGAATGGTCAGGCTCCGAACAATACTGCCCAGGGTACAGAGTAGTGCTCTGGAGTTTCTAAGTCCCCGGGGCTCTCTCCTGGATCCACTTCTCCAGAGAGGGCCGGATGAAGGAGCGGGTGTATGTTACCCACTTGGATTACACAGGAAAAGGACCTACGTGTCCATGTAATGTCTTGTTCTCTCCTTTAAAGAGCAACCTGTTCTTGAAACGCCTCTGACAAGAGGACACGGAGGTTAAATAACTTCAGCTAGGGTCATGGAAGGGAGAGAGAATAGGTCTAGGAGTTAATGAAAGAGTCGTGTGTGGGAGAGAAGTTCATTCCGTGAGAGGTGCCTCCCGTCTAAAGAAAACCTGGCAGTAAGATGTGACAAATGGAATTACAGGCAGCTCAAGAATTACTCGGCCCAGTTCTTCACCGCCCAGGGTCCGTGGAGGATTGCAGGTCCTACACTAAGGTTCTTGGGATTAGTAGGAGGCTAATAATAATAATGATAATAAAAAATAAAAATCTTAAAAGTTCAGGTTTTCTTCAGTGCGCAGGGCTTCCCAGTCCCTAGAGGCAAACTAAACCAGTGTCGCCGAGCCAGTCGCTGCCCAGAGGATAGGACGAACACCCACCACATCTGAGTCTACGCTCTGACCAGGATACCTGATTTTGCCAGCTCTCAGCCCACGAAAGAGTAAGGACTTCGGGTTGGGTTTATTTTAAAGTCGGGTTTATTTTAAAGCACAACATGAAGAAAGGCTTTCACTGACAGTTCCCTCTGGCCAATACAGAAAACCCTTGTTCAGGAGAATCTGGACCACTGCTTCTCAAGACTCGTCTCAGAGAAGTAGTTGGGCTTCCTTACCGGACTGCTCTGTGGCAGATTTTGGGTTGTCTTGTGCAGTTGCTTTTGCAAACACACCGACTGTGGGCAAACTACTGTCCACAAGACCAATAGCTTCATAGCCAACATCGGGGCCCAAATCACTCCTAAGGAAGGAGAGAGAAGAGGGTGTTCTGTCAAGGGGACTGCAAAGAATGACACGGTGGTATATTTTTTTATTTTTTCTAAGACACCACACTTTGATTCGTGCCAACCAAAGAACCTGGTATGTACAACAAGGGAAAATGCCAAACTGATCGGTCTGCTTGCCAGGGCATCTGGGGACAATCGTGAGAAAGCACTGTTATCCCAAAGCAGCTTTTATTTTCCTTAAGAAGCCATTATACATATCACATATCCATACACTAATCTACACTTCCTGAAATTTATCCATGCTTTTATCCCTTGGGGAGTGATGGGTTCATCAACTTTACTATTCACTACGTTCCTTTAACTCAACCTGAAAGTGCCCTGCTGGTGCTGTAAAGGGTGCTCCATATTTACAGAATTCAGAATCTGAGATCCTGTACGGCTTCATCAATGGATGGTATCTCCTCTGAGCCTTCATTTGTTCAAGGCTGGAATGCCTCCATCCACTTGATCATTTTATTTTAATTGTTCTTCTTGGAAACTTCTCCTATCATTATCACACTGTTTTTACTACGCCAGGAACTTCGAAGAGTATTTGTGCCACCGACACATGATGGTTTTGTAATCACGTGAGGCTACTACTCATGGTTTTGTTTCTGGTGCTCTACCTTTTGCCATCATTTAATTAAGTGATTAAGTAAGTAAGTAAGTAAAATTTGAGGACAGTTGACACACCGTGTTACATTCATTTCAGGTGTACAACTTAGTGATTTGATGAGTTGACACACTGTGCTGTACTCACCACAAGCATAGCTACCATCTGTCCCCTTATGCTATTTGAGTATCATGGACTAAATTCCTTATGCTCTGCTTTTTATTCCCGTGTTGTCATTTCTTGACCATAGAAGCTCACTGGACTGGTATCTTCAGGGAATGGTCTACAGTGACTTCTCGGATACTGGTCCTGAGACCTAACTGATGATTATCTACCTATGGACTCTTTTGTTCCTAACCGCATTATCTTACAGGTGTTGACCCCGAAACCCAGCTGTTATGTTTCTGCTGCCCGCTCACAAAACTGTGTGTGATTGTCCTGAAATGTATTCTCACCAGCTGAGAATTTCCCCAACAGAAACTGCTTAGAGGCTTCTGAAACCTTGAAGTTTTTTATGTATCCCATCTTTCAAAGCAATAAGAGGAGAGTGTGCCAAATAAGGCCAATCCCAGTACTCAGGAATGTCCCTTGCTAACTTTTTGCTATTCAGAGAACTGTCTATAGATGCCTGACTTTGAACTGCTGATCTTAAGGGTTACATATGAGTGGGCTGCTTTTTTTTTTTTTTTTTTCTTAAAGTAATCCCTACACCCAACATGGGGCTCAAACTCACGACCCGGAGATCAAGGGTTGCATGTTTCACCGACTGAGCCAGCCGGGCGCCCCTGGGCTGCCTTTCTGTCAGTACGTTGGGCTCATGAGGGTTAGCACAGAAGAACAAATGAAAACATACTGCCGTCTCTAGCTAAGAGTACACGTTTGTACCACCTACTGTAGCTCAAACTCTGAGCTATTTTATCAGAAGTGCTGATGCCATCTCCACGCATTCACCTAGTCTAACTTATACCAGGTGGGGCCTTTTACCAGAAGGCTGCTTGGGTGCAGAATGCATGGAAACAAGATGAAATTTTTCTCCCCTCTGTATGAAGCTAATTGGCCCACGTGGAAACCAAACTGTAACTCTGGCTGCATTAATTCCGTGTTCTAACCAGTTGAGTCCACAAGGTACAAAACTATTACCAGAACATTGACTGATGCCAGTATGGCTTAGCAGCTCCAGTCATATTTTCTCCAGCCAATCTTCCACTCACAACAGCGTGATCATGGTGCTCTACCCGCCTCCTACCCAACTTTATATCGTAGAAGCATGCAGCATCTCCTGCCTTTGGAAACAAGTACATTATATGAGCACGTGATAAAACAAAAACAAAAACAAAGACAGAACATACATTTTGAGGGCTCAAAAAAACCCTTGTGCCATTAACTACTTAGTGTTTTCCATGTATGGGCCAGAATCGCACCTACACTTACTAAAAAAAGTTGAGATTCCATTTTTAAAAAACTATTCTATGCTAACCCCCCAAAACAAAAAAACTATTTCTATGCTTCCACAAAGCGAACCTAAATCTTCTATGCTGCAGCTCACACCTATTTCCTCTCTCATTCTGCCCTTAGCAGAGACCGAATATTTAATAACTGTGATTTGCAGAATACTCTTTCCTATGCATGGAAACCAGTTTTTAGGTACGAGACCACCTCTCACCTAGAAATCTTTTCCAAGATAGGATTTTCTTTCTTTCTTTTTTTTTTTTTAAAGATTTTATTCATTTATTCATGAGAGACAGAGAGAGAGGCAGAGGGAGAAGCAGACTCTCCCGCGAGGGAGCCCAAAGTGG